TTTTGGAAATAGGGGAGAAAGAAGAGAAAAGGCCCCTTTTCAAACTACAGATTTCAGAATCCCCCAGCCACCAAATCCCTTTTAGGGGCAGCCAAAGGATGCCAGATTTTGTATTGGGCCGAGGGGTTTGTGATGGGATTTGTAGTAGCTCAACCCCTTCTGGAAAGTTTCCGGCTAGGGAAGGCTATCCGAATGGTTGGGGCCTCCTGCAGACTTTGCGAGCAGGGTTGTGTGATTCAGCTCCTCTTTGCTTTTTCAAAATTGTGTGTGTGTGCACGTGTGTTTGTGAGCCAGGCTAAAAGTGGCTCATTTCAACACAGCTGCCTTTTTTCTTTCTTTCTTTCTTTTTTTGGTTGGACTGAGCAAACAGCCGCAGCGAGCGCATTCAGAATTTGCTCCAGCCAGCTTGCTTTCAGGGAGATGATGATGATGTTGACTCTGTGGAAACAATTCCTCTCTCTGTAAGTGGTCTCAAGCAGGCAGTGAAAGACAGCTTCCCTTGGCTTTCCACGCTGGCAAAGGGATCCTTATATCCGAGGAGGAACAGTTGAACTCCTCTGAAACTTCCCCGTCGAATTGGGGAGAGGCCGTTTTCTACAGAGTCCAGAGAGGGTCAACGGTTGGCTAGTGATCCCCAAACTCTGGTCCTCCGGGAGTTTTGTACTTCCGCTCCCAGAAGCCTCGGCCATCTTGGCCAATGGTCTGGGATTCTGGGAGCTGAAGTCCAAAACATCCGGAAGACCAGAGTTTGGGAATCACTAGGACATGGATTTGGCTGAATGGTTCTTGAGCCACTCTTTCTCTGCCTAATCTACCTTGCAGGGTTGTTGTGAGGATAAATTTGTCTTTAGGGCAAGGGTAGGCAACCTTTCCCCTTTAAGGGCCGAGGGACTTCAGCTCCCAGAATCCCAGGAGCTATTGGCCAACATGGGACTATTGGCCAGCATGGCTGTGGCTTCTGGGAGCTGAAGTCCTTCGGCCCTTAAAGGGGAAAGGTTGCCTACCCCTGCTTTAGGGTATATGCCTTCTTGAACTCCTTGGAGAAAGGGAGGGATATTAATGGCATACATGCATGAGAGCCAGCGTGGGATAGTGGTTTGCACTTTGGACAAGGACACTGAAAGACCAAGGTTTGAATTTATGCTCAGCCATGGAAACTCACGGGGTGACCTTGGACAAGTCACACACTCTCTCAACCTCAGAAGGAGGCCAAGGCAAACCCTCCCTGAACAAATCTTGCCAAGAAAACACTGTGATCAGTTTGCCTTAGGGTCGCCGTACGTCAGAAAGGACTTGGGAGGCATGCAACAGCAACATGCAAGCATGCATTCACACTTAGAGGAATTTGACTCCTGTTGCATTAGATACACAGTCTTGAGTATCTCTTTTCTGAATGGCAGGACTATTCTGTCAGGGAAATATTTTGAAAGTGTCTTCTGCAGAAAGCTTGTAAACTTCATGGATCTGGATATAAGTTTTAATAGGTGTGATACCAACTCAGGCTATAAGAAACTGGGGTGATGGTGGTTTGCTTTTGGAGATGCTGAAGCTGGTGGTGATGGTGATGGTATGGTTGGCCTTCCATATCCACAGATTCAAGCATCCACGGCTTGAAAGTATTTTTTAAAAATATACATTCCAAAAAGCAAGCCTTGGTTTTTCCACTTTACATAAGGAACACCATTTCAGTATGCCACTGTATTCAATGGGACTTGAGCATCCATGGATTTTGGTGTCCATAGGGGGTGGTGGTCCTGAAACCAAACCCTAGCAGACACCAAGAGCCTGCAGTATTTTATCATATATACAGGATTTTCTCTTGGTCCTGGAGTGATACCTTCTTATTTTCCTTGCCTCACAGCTGAGCACAAGTCAATTGTGTCACATGCATGCACATATATTTTTTTGTTGTGCACCTTCAATTCATTACGGCCACCTATCATGGGGTTTTCTTGGCAAGTTTCAGAGAAGGTTGGCCCATACCTTCCTTTGAGGTTGAGAGAGAGTGACCTGCCCAAGGTCACCCAGTGGGTTTCCATAGCCAAGCAGGGATTCGAACCCTGCTCTACAGAGTCATAGTCCAACACTCAAACCACTGCACCATGCTGGCTCTCCCTATAGGATTGCTTAAAAGTGCATGAAACTTTCTTACAAGCATATACTGTTGTTTTTTTTAAAAAAACTGGACCGTTGTTTTAGTTGATTCATAGTAAAAGGAAAGAAAAAAGAACAAGAAGTTGCCTCCAAAAAGAAGAATGGAGAAAAAAAAGCAAAGGGAATCCGAGACTCATATGATTGTGTATCTCTCATAAATGGGCTCTGGTTGCAATAGGAAAAGCCCTAAAGAAGTAGACTAATAAAAAACGTATTTTAAAGAAGATTGTGCAACATGTGCAGTTGACTTTCAAAAAGAAGAGAGACAAACGCTTTCACATTTCGCCTGTCTCCTGGAAAGCTGCATTCAGGGGGTGAGGTTTTTCCCTTCCCTTTCTTTCTTTCTTTCTTTCTTTCTTTCTTTCTTTCTTTCCATAGTTACCCAAGCCCACACATGCAAACATCAAACAGCTATGGTTGGACGGATTTCCATTTTCCAGGACTAGTCGAGAAATCAACATGCAACTCTGAATCCAAAAATGAAAAAATGCTAAGTATTGGTCGGAGTTGAGTCTCGGGTAGCCATCAAACCAGGGTTTAAATTGGGTCAGAAGCTAAGAAACAGGATCTTCTGACTGTCTATTATTATTAATATCATGAGACGAATCTCAATATCATGGAACGATCAATCAATCAGTCAGGGAATGATCTGCCGGAGGAGATCCGTCACATTACGACTCTTGACGCTTTTAAGAAGGCTGTCAAAACGGATCTCTTCCGGCAGGCCTTACCTGACTGATCGATTAATATAATAATAATAATAATAATAATTTTTATTTATATTTCCCGCCTCTTCCTACAGATCGAAGCGGAATAACAGTAATATAAAAATACAAAGCATAAAATATATAAAGACCACAACAACAACAACGATTGATCGTTCCATGATACTGACGTAGGTTGCCCTTGTTCGTCTCATGACGCCTCATTTTAATTATGCTTAATTTACTTAATTTTATCCATTGAATGCATTTTATGATGCTGTGTTAATTTTGAATTGGGGGTAAGGGGATCTTGTTATTTTATCATGTTGTTTTATAGCTGTATTGTTGTATTTCATGATTGTTACCCACCTCGATCTTTTGGGAAGAGGAGGGTTATAAATAAAAAGTTGTTATTATTATTATTATTATTATTATTATTATTATTATTATTATTATTATTATTATTAATTTCTTACCTACCTCTCCCCATGGATCGAGGCAGGGAACAACAGCAATGAACAGATAAAGAACATCTGTTAAAACACATCCATTAAAATACCCATCAATTTAAAATGGCAAATAGTTACCAAGTAACCCAGGCAAAGTCCAAAGCTGAGCTAGTTTTGGAGAGCCGATGGCCATCCTGAATTGGATGAGTTACTAGACTTCCTTGCAAGGGTAGCCAAGTTCATCATACAACGAAATCTAAAGACTGTTGCATGGTGATATCTTTTTTAGGCCAAACAAAAGGTGCAAGGTACAATCCCATCCAAAAATTCACAAAACGGTGATGCCTTTATTGGCCAACCGGAATGCACAAAATGCACGGTGCAAGCTTTTCGAAGAGCCCCTGGATTCTTCATCAGTTAAACATCATACAGGAGGGAGAAAAATGATGACCATTTTAGTCACAAGCCTGCATTTTGCCAAGAAGTCGCTGTTCAGGTGTTGTTGGAGGGAAATTTATGCAGGCAGAGCCCCTCCTCCAGGTGGATAATCCAGGGAAATACTAATACTAATACTAATAATAATTTCATTAGCAAGTCAAAAAAAATATGCTTCTCTTGAGATCCGAGTTGTCTCAGGCTGCATCCAACCCTATCACGGGGTTTTCTTGGCAAGGTTTGTTCCGAAGGGGTTTGCTGTTGCCATCCTCTGAGGCTGAGAGAGTGTGACTTGCCCAAGATCACTCAGTGGGCCAAACTGGGATTCGAACCCTGGTCTCCAGAGTCCTAGTCCAGTGCTCAAACCTCTGCACTGCGCTGGATCTCTGATCTAGCCTTAATTTCTCAAAATATGGCAAATAGTTGTGCCAATTGCTATGCATCCTCATTCCACCAAATGTGGGTGTTTTTTTTTAGCAGTTCAAGTTACAATCTTCTGCTCGATATTTTCTTTTCTGCACGGGCGTATTGAAATTATTGTTGGCTTGTTAAAATAAATAAATAAAATGAAATGAAACAGTTCAACATAATAATTTAAATGCACGCTCCATAACTGAGCAAACTGTATTTCCAATGTTTCAGATTCCTCCCTTCGAACATTAATAATGCATCTCACTTTAAGTTGTTATCTTGTTCTGACAGATAATAAATAGCTTAAAATGCTCTACAGATTTCAGAATGGTGCCTAACAGAAATTGTCGTGACTTGGTTTCTTTTACCTCATTAAAAGATTGCATTCTCATTTAAAAATTCTTATGAAGACAGCCTCTTTCCAAAGAAGTTTTCTTATGGTTAGGTACAGATATATACCTATATTGCAGCAGACATTTATTTCCTTGTTATTTGGTTCCTAAAACCCATGTTCTTATCCTTTCACTAGCTTTGATGGGAACCCAGATCTAACCCATAATTCAGGTATGAGGAACCTGTTGCCCTCCATGGACTGCTGATCCCATCATCCCTCACCATTGACAATACT